AATTGGAATTAGTGTTCGTGGAGGAATAACTAGTCATGGTTTAGCACTGAATTGTAATACGGATTTACGATGGTTTCATGAAGTAAATATGATTAATGAAGTTTTTTGGGAATTTAGAGAACATTTCAGTTTGGTAGATTTGAGATATAAATTTGTCGATTGTTTTTCTTAGATAATCCCTTGTGGCCTGGTTGGGAAGGAAGTTACATCTCTAACTAAAGAGTTTGGCAGAGAAGTCTGCGTGTCAGACTTGCTTCGTCCACTGAGCGAAACTTTTGCAGCAGTTTTCCAATGTACTTTGGAGTTTCATGATAATTGTTTAAGTTCAAGCAATTTATTGAGCATTGGTTGATAACAGTTTGTAACTGTGACTCTGATAACTTATGTTCTGTTCTCATAAACTGACTTGAGCTGTTCGGAACTTTTTGGATGAAGTTGACTCTTTTTCTTGTTATATTTGTTCAGTCTCAACGTTCTCTTTTTGTTCCTCTCATGCTGTAATTATTATAGTTTTAGGAATATACTGTATCAGGTAAAAATAGTCGTTAGCTGCTTGAATTACTTTCAGTTCTTCTGCGTGGAATTTGTAATTGTTAAAAATTGTTTAAAAAAGTGTTTACTCGCGGAAAATATTCTGAAAGGTTATGACCAGTATGTTGGGTGGGTGTTAGAGATTGTTTAGGAGTGCCTAACCACTGGTAGCCGTTTAGGGCTGAAAAATCGGATTTCTTGCAGAAGTGATGCAGATTTTTATGGAAATTTCGAAATTTTATCGGTTTTGAACTACAGGTTAGCCAGAGAGGAGTGACTTTAAGATTCAAACTCTGCTTAAACTTTGACCTTTGTGGTTACCGCGTTTCTTGTTTGAAAAAAACTTCAAGTTAGGAAAGATAAGCCGGTGCGAAGTGCTAATTAGTTAGAAGATATTGTATTTGTAGACCGGCTTCTTTTTTTATATTGAAGTTCCTTGTCAGGCACGCGGATTTTTCTCTTCGTGCAGTTCATCTGTGAAAGTTTTAACCGTTGTTTTACATTAATCGTTGTATATGCATTATCAGTTATATAATATGATTTTATGGTGTGCTAACAGTTAGTAGTAGTAAAGAAAATACCAGAAACAAAAAATTAC